CAGCACACGAGGAGAGGCTAGAGGCGTTAAACATGCCAAATTTTCTAGTTTTTCCAAGATAGAAGAAAAAAGAGGTGATATGATCACCACTTACAAAATAATAACAGGAATCGACCAAATTGACAAAGATGCATTCCTGAAACCAGCAACTTAAAGAACAAGAGGGCACAAATTCTAGCTAAGGAAACAAAGGCGATGAAAATATATTAGAAACCTTTCTTTTGCAAACAGTGGTAGACGGTTGGAACAAGCTAAGTGAGGTGGCGGTGGAGGCTAAAACCGCCAGTAGTTATACGACAAAAGCGTTATACGACAAAGAGTACTGGAAAGACGGGACACCGCGAGCGTAGCTCTCATCCTGTAATTACACTCAGGTATATAGTGACAAGCGCACGCTTATTTCTCAACCACACCACAGTCACGACAGCCTAAAGGCCTCCATTCAATTCCCACGCCAGGAGAAAAGCCTTAGGGATTTGGATTTGTCCTTTCACCTGAAGTTTCTTTTCACCTAGCGGGAGTAAGGCAACTGTTGAGAGGAGCATCCCGGGGAAGGTCACTAGTTGACTTAGGGATCTGTATAAGCCAAATACGCTTACTATGTTCCATAACGGGAACCCATTAGTCAAGTTACCAGGGCTTTAAGGCATACTTTTTATACTTATATATTCATGAACTTTTCCTTAACATTTACGAATTCTGAAATTGTTTGTCATTCGCCTCCCCGGAAGGTGTTATGTCGAGTTGACAACATCAACACCCATACCATTCACCTGGCCTCTAGGATCACCCTAGAGCCCAGGTGTTCTACCATCACCCTAGAGCCCAGGTGCTCTACAATGACTCTAGAGCTCAGGTGCTCTACCATCACCATCACCCACACGGCCCAGGGGGAGCTCAACTGTTTGTACGCGGACCAGTATCTCTTGTTTATCCGCGCTCTCTCTGAAAGTGTGAGAACACGAAGCTGGTATGTAAGAACTGAGATATGCCAGCGTGAGCGGATCGTGTGCACCACCACCAGGTGTTGATGTAATTAATCAGCTGTGAATGACCCTTATCTCTCGCTATCGTCCCCAGCGGGTGAACGCTGTATCCATGCCTCGAGTGAGAATTTAGCGGAAATGCAGCATAGTGTGGGAAGAGACCATAAGTTTAAACGTGGCTTCACATGCAAATTCCTTGGGTATTAAAGGAGGAGTGAGTAGACCCATGAGCCTAGCCTGATGGTGGGACACGACTGGTCATGAGGAGTCATGAGGTGTCGGTAATACCAAGACGGCAGCAAGATGAGGCAGTGAGGTGAGAAAGGGTGCAGTGATCCCGGTAATACGAGCGGCGCTCCTGTCGTCCCACACATCACATTGGTTGAGGTTGCAATATACATGGTTGGCGGGGCAGGAAGCACGCGCGCGCCACAGTGACAGGAGGGAGGTTGACAGGAGGGAGGCGAGTCCATGACAATACCTGCATCAGAGAACCACATCTCCCACAGCAGTAAACATTGTACACGTGACAGTGTTTCGGGTCGTCCTCGACCATTAACAGTCGAGACAGGGTTCCAAGATGCATTACCGAGAAACAAGTATTGATAACGTTGACTGACATGAACAACGCCAACTCGTGAGGTTTCGTCACTGGAGAGAGCCAAGTGGATGTGTGCAGCAACACATGAGAACTGCAGGTTATCTGAGGTGCAGCACTTGAGGTGAGGGTCGTCATCCCCCCAGTGCTCACCCCCCAGACACCTACACCCACACTCTTTACTGATAACATAACTCTCAAGAACACACAACACACAAGAGATGTGACGGAGCCTTCGGTATACTGGCGTCTTCCATGATCACAGCGCTCTACACCTGCGTATATACGCCTGGGGTCACTAGTGAGGCAGGTCACTATAGGCCAGGGTCACTAGTGAGGCAGGTCACTATAGGCCAGGGTCACTAGTGGGACAAGATCACTATAAGCCAGGGTCACTAGCGAGGCCATGTGACCATAGTTTTACCGGACCTGTGTTACAGTCACTAAACTAACCACAGTTTCTTCTCTGACTTACAGTATCACATATTAAAAGCTGTATTTACTGACTGGGCTACACGCCTGCCGTGACACACACACACACGCAAGTACCACCAAAGCCGTGCCAAGGTGAGCGCCTCCCAGCACCGACACCTGTAGAGGAGGAGGTGTTGGTGCACCTCGTCGTGTCCACCTCCCAGTACAGCTTCACTCTCACAGTCGAAGTCACTGTCCAACTGGCAACCCGCCAAGTACGCATCATCCCCTTCACCTGACAACTCACAGCTGATTGTTGACAGTTGATGTTTCCGGGTCGGGGGTGGAGGGGGCTCAGATGATATTGTGGGGAGATGTTCTGATTGATTAAGATTAAACCAATCAAGGGGTGGCACGGGCATGAATAGTCTGGATGCTCTGATTGGCAAACTTTTCTTTATAGAGGGGAGGGGAATCTGATGATGTTTGCTGCGGAGGGAAGGGATGTTCTGATTGACAAACTTCCCTTTATGAATATTCGTGTTCGTTATCAAGGAAGTTTGAAGGATTTTATGTAATAATGTGTTCCATAATCATGTGTTCAGACGCAGGGAAGCTGCGACTTTATTCATTTATCTATACAAGAAGTAACATTGGAACGTGAAAGTCAAGATTTTGGTAAATAAGTGATACAGTGTTGGAAGGCAGGAGCAGGCTTAATTACGCTGGTGGAGGCAGTCCTTGACCAGTTCCAGCACCTCTGACTCTTAGCATTGTTCCACGCGGCCAGAGATATTACTTTTAGTCTAAGATATCATGGGTTGCTACTGCGTGTTCGTCTAATGTGGTCGCGGCGGTTGACCTTCAGCTTTTGCGACCCATCTCTTAACCTTGGTTCAGCTGGTATAGTTGTTCCCTTATATAGTTGTACCATACTTGGTACAACGCCTCCACTACCTCTCCCAAATCTGTTAAATTTCTTGGTTAATTTCAGTGTTTTAATTTTTTTTAGATTTTTATATTTTAAAAGTAGTTTTGTCTAATCTGATCCAGCTGTGCCTCAGAAATGTTTTAAGAAATTTTATATTTTTCTTGTTATACTGAGATCTAAATCTTAGGTGAGGGAGTGGAACCGCTTTGGTACTTTATAGTCGTGTTCCCTACAACACGACCCTCCCCCATCAAGGTGACTCCTTATATACGTAAAATTGTTTACTTTTGAGGTGTACTATTTAACTAATGAAACTATTGCAAACAGTTTGTGATAACGTTACGAGGGTAGGCCTGGTGATATAATTACAGTACTGTAGGTAGCGTTAAGGTACGAGGTCCTTCCTGCAAGACTTGCAGGGAGAGCAAGCTTATTGACATTCTCAATCGACTTCGAGAATGGTACAGGACGGACCGAAACGTCGTCGTCCCTTCACCTTCTAGTGTGGTCTGGTCAACATACTTCAGCCACGTTATTGTGATTCATCGCCTGCAAGAGCAAGCTTACCATGTACGAACTCTACAATAGGCAACTCTGTGATACCTGGCGACAATTTTGCGTAAGATGTCATCCTGGATAACATACATGGACCTCTCTTGACCATTAGTGATAACTGTGTCCAAAGGTGTCGGTTTTGTTCAGACTGTCCAGGCATGAAGATACCTCCTGGCCATAGAACAGCTTCAAGTGGCAGGATGAACAAGCCAGCGGGTTAAAGCCATGGCGTTAGGTTCACTCACACGATGAGTGACGCTGCCCAATAAACTCGCCCTCAGGGGGTAAAGTTAATGACAGGTAGGGGAAGTCCCTAGCAAGATGACCCTGGCCTCGGGCCTGTGTGAGGACGCACCTGGGTACTCTACCACACATGTTTAACACACCACGCACACACACACATGACCCTTCACACCTGCAGTATGAGGTACCTGGATTGATGACCTGGAACTATGTATATATAATGACTTGATCCAGTCTCGTGTTCTTGTGGATATCCTCATAATGAATTCAAAAGTTGCCAGCCGTGGCTACTGATCACACGCCTCAATATGACCATCTTATGTAACCATTGATTGACTGATTGATGAAGATTAAGCCACCCAAAAGGTGGCACGGGCATGAATAGCCCGTAAGTGGTAGATTTTTTGGATGAATGTGATCTTTGGTCGTGAAAGGATATACTGTGTGCTGAGCTCGCATTTAAATCGTCAGTCCTTACTATGTGGCTGCTATCGTTGGGGTATGTAACCACCTTGTGTAACTCTTCATATAGCCTGGGGGAGTTTGATAACTGCGGATGTACCGAAGTATGTTGACAACACTACAATCAGCCGTGACGAGACGTGACTTGGTGTAAACAGTACCATAAGGCAAAGTGAAAAAGACTTGTGTGTGGCCCGAGGTGGGGGACCTTCCCCACTGGAACCGTGGACGGGGGAAACTGGAGCCTCCCACCCA